CATTCTTTGTGTTGGAGATAGAAGAACCCGAAAGTTGCAATGAAGTAATGTAGGAAAGGTTGTGGAAGCCGCTAGAGGTGGTTGGATGAGTATACCCCTAGAAGTGGAGATGGCATGTCATAAAGATGAAGATAGAGCAATGCAGGAAGATGTAGATGCCACTCAAGATGTTCAGATTGGTCCACCCCTAAAAGTAGAGATGGAAAGACCAAAACATGATGAAGCAATGCAATAAGTTATGAAGGCAACTAGAGGTTGGGATTAAGGGGAGATGGCTCGACCTGAAGGTAGCAATGGAGTTGTGCAAGAAGGTCTTGGAGATGTCAGGTAGAGAAGTGCGATGTGTAGTAATAGTAGGGGCAACTGAAGATGGTTAGATCAGTCCTCCCATAGAGGTGGATATGCTTGTAGAGGCATTAGAGTGATGCAGGAAGGGCTTGAAGACCATCAGAGATGGTTAAATTGATCCTTCCGTGAAGGTGGAGATTTCCCAACCTAAAGGCAATTATGGAGCGGTGTAGGAAGTTTAATAGGAAGTGTGTGAAGATCATTAGAAGTGCAGGTGCTTAGATATGTCTCCTTTTAGCGGTGATGGCATGATGTGAAGGCCATGACAAAGCAAGACAGAGAGGTCATGGATTGCACTGACTAACGATAGCCAGATTCTATGTATTATATATATTTTTTCACAGATATATATATATATATATATATATCTAAAAATTTGATTTGATTATTTTATTTGACAAACAAAGGGCAGCAATAAATATGAATTTGCTTATTTAATGAATAGATCCTTCACTAGAGGCCCATTCCAATAGTTCCAGCCAGGCAAATAAATTGATGCTAGTAAATATCATGAGCAAAGCTGGAGTGGGGCCGACCTCGTAATGATTGCAGACAAGCCATGAATGCGGAGTTCTTGTACAGTGATTATTGCTTTGAGTGAGGCATAAGCGAAGAAATTCCCAAGCTGTTAAGAGACATGGCGTGTGGTCCAGCTAAATTATGGACATCTTAGGCAATGGAGAGCTGCAGGTGCAAGATAAGAGGAGGCAGGATAGTGATTTGGGTTTGACTGGTATTATATAATAGGAAGAGTCTAAAGGCTATTTATTATATGATTTGGTTATGGCATGTGAGGTTGAGGTGATGGGTGGTTTATCCTGTCTGCATCTAACATTTAGGTTTTATTTGGGACGGTTTTCTTATTGCTTCTTAAAGCAGCTTTTGTTTAGATTTTTTTACTAAAAAGTTGCTTTAAGAAGCAATAAGAAAACCGTCTCAAATGAAGCCTTAATTAGGTGAAGATATAAAATAGGAAAGCCATTTTTAATAAAGCCAGCTTCTTTGTGGATTCATCTGGTGGGAAGATGAAGGGCCATTTGCACAGAACAAGCCATAGGTTGCACTATACATGTTGAATGACTTGCTGATGCTATGTTTTGACTTTGATATTCTTTTTATTTAGTGGTTGTTGCGGCCTTTATGTGGGGAGATTATTCTGTGCGGACACCGGACGGGAGAACCGTTTGGTTACGCTTGGTACCGAGTCATTACCGAGTGCGGTACCGATCTTTGTACCGAGCGCGGTACATTTTTGGGGTGACGTGTCACATTTTTATTGGTCTCCGGATCACATCTGGACTCCGCACCTAATAATTTGCTCTTTACGTGATATGATACTTGGTCTCTAAAAGTTTTCTTTATTTTTATCTCTAGGAAATAAAATATACAATAATGCAATAATAAACCATCTTATAACATTTGGTTATCCTTTTGTCGGCTATGTTTAGTTATCCTAGCGGAGGCAACAGCATTTGTAGGCAAGCCTTCAAAATAAATGCCCCTTCCATTGTTGATCCTTGATGCAAGCTTCCACTTACTATGCTCACAAACCTCTTTGGGTTTTAGCTCTATAGACCGAGATGAAGTATTGATGCTGTCACCAGTCCAACCCAGTTTTCTTCAGAAATGATGGTAATATGCTCAATGCTTAAACTTTTTCAACAAAGTTGATATCCATCGAGCTCAATTGCCTTATAATACGTTTAAATTCATTGATATATGCAGCTAAAGAAGTTCCTCTAGTCATCTTAAGATTTAGTAACTTTTTCATTATATATACATGCTTACTTGAAGGAATCTATGGCTGAAAAGTTGAGTGTGTGATCCCAAAAGTTTGGGACAAGCTCAACTTGGGAGTTGGGGGAGAGCATATTAGAATTTATTCAAGATATTTCTCCTAATGATATGGTAGACTAAAATAAGTTTATTTAGTTCAATGGGATTAAAATTGCTCATGGCTGATTTTTTTTTTTTTTTTAAAGTTCAGCGAAGGGGATAAGATTTGCTCATTACAAGATTTGAGGATTGAGATCCTTCATTAAAGAGGATGGTGAATAACAAAGAATTAGAATGTCATCTAATGAAAGAATCTATGACTACTTAGGTCTATGATGATGTATGGATTCAACTTAGTATTAGGTTATATAAGGTTATGCATAAGGAGAGATGCAATCACAAGATGATGCCATGGAGCCATGGAATTGGGATAAGAAGTCACTTTCATCCTAGAGGATGCTTAAAAATTTGAGGTAAAAGATATGCTATCACCTAGACCCTTGGGAGGAAGTTAATTTTACGACTTCATATCGACGAAGGATTGCCCATATGACCGATGATAACAAGGGAATATGAAACTAATGCAACGAAGATCTTAGTTCGATGTCCATATTTTTCGGTTGGAAGTCATCGGTATGACATGATGGTAGTGTTATCAATTAGAGGTTTAGATGACTATAAGTTTGGATGACATGTTAGTGGTTTGTCAAGTGTTTTGGATGTGGTGTTAGAAGAAGTGTTGCACTTTAAGGTATAAATTTATTTGGGGATGGGAGGACAATAGGAATCTCGGGGCGAGACACGGGTCATCTTGAGCCATGATGACTGTGGGGCATCTTAAAGTGAGACAATGGATCTTCTCGGTGCGGTCTTATAAAGATGAGGCACTAGAAAATAACAATACAAGACGCGAGTCTTATAAAAATGAGGCATTAGAAAATCTCAATGCAAGACGACAATCATCTTGAGATGAGCTGACGACGGGACATCCCGAGAAGAGGATTACGTCTCCTGGACCTAGGCTAGGATCATCCTGCTTGTGTACATTGACCATGTTCTACCCACTAGAGCTAAACTAGGACACAAATGTGCTTGTAGGCTTCATGAGTTGAACCCCCATTCCATCTTTGACAAGGACGAACCATTGGCTTTGGGCTCCATTTAGAAATCCCAAAGTGAATTGTTTTAAAAGATTTGGTCACTTATACCATGCTAAGCCAATGTGGAGCTGAATTGAGATAAAGGGTTAGGCCTGAAGAGATTAAATTTTATTTTGCGTGAGTTGGGTTAAAGAGGGCTTAGGTTTTACTTAGATCAAGCTTGACCTGTAGGGTGATAAATATGAGGCATCTTTTAGTGATAATGACGACGGGTTAAGTCTATAATTGATACATCTCCAAAAATCGTCTAGATCGGGCACAAATTTTGATGCAAATATGAACAAGAAACTTCCAGAATTAAATTTGGGACCTTCCAAACTCCGCTTTCAATAAGCTCATAGAGACGAACCCAGCGATACCAAATTTGATCCAATCCGATCCCAAATCAAAGGTCCAAAGTCTATTTGGAGACTTGAGAGCATTAATTGGACTATCAAATGATATTCGAATATGACGTGCTTACAGTCAAATTGAGCGGCTCGTAAATCAATCGCCTTTAGGGGCCGTAGGATTTCTAGGAGTTCAGATGAGTAAATTATGCAAAATCATACATGGCTCAAGAAGGAAGGATACTATGTAGCCTATAGTTTTGCCATAGGGGAACAAGAATTATTGTTCTAGTATCTATTTTTGTGATCGGTCGTAGGCTGATTGTAGGCTCAAGCATGCTCAAAATTATTTGGCATTTTTGACCTATAAAACACTCAAGTTTTTAAATAATAAAAAATATGATTAATATTTATTTATTTAAAATAAAAAATATCGTATAGATCTATAAATTCAAATGATATATAAACCTTAAATTAAATGACAAATTTCAAATACCTTTAAGTTTTAGTATATTTTTACTACAAATTAAATACATTATTTGAAATATTTTATCTGTTGTATGTATTGCTGACATCCCTAACATCCAAAGGGTTTAGGCTTTGTTTGGGATGGCTTTATTATGCTTCTTAAAATAATTTTTTAACATAACAAATAAAATTTTTGTACTAGAAAACTGTTTAAAAAAAAGTAAAAAAGCCGTCCCAAATAAAAACTTAATCAATCGAAGAAATTACTCTCATTTTATTTGATTTATTTGCTTGTAAATGAGAAATATATTTTTTTAAATGAATAAAGATTTTAATTTCACTCCTTTTTTTGGTCTCATTTCTTGCGTGTAAATACATAATATATTTTAAAAAAATCATTTTTTTCATTTGAGAAAATTTTTAAAGCTTTGAAATATATATTTGTGATTAATAATATAGAATTAGATGATGATTTTAATAAATTTAGTTATTTTTATATATGATTTTTTTAAACTTGCTCAATATGAAATTAAAATCATTACTTCTGAGAAAACATTCAGAAAGCAATGTTTATGTCTAATTACATAAATTAAATGATAAATTAATAAATTACAATAATTTAAACAAAATTATTTGTATCCAAATATTAAACTATAATTTAAATAATAATAAAAAAAAAGTTATGTTCTGAAAATCTTCATAGAATGCTATGTTTCATAAAAAATTACCAAACTGAAGGTGAAGCTGCATGCTAAGCCCAGCAGAAAATGATTACTTAATAAAACAGGAAATAAATCTTATTATTACAATGATAACAAATTCCAGACACTTATTAGTTATTACCCTAAAAAAAAAGAAAAAATGATACCCAATATGACTGGTGACAAATTAAAACATCTTCTTATTTGCTTTTTAAAACAAAAAAAAAACAAAATTACAGAGCAAAATACAAATCAAACAAGACTTGTTTGCCTACACTTTGCTCAGCTTACAATCTCAGCAATCTTCTTTTTCTGCTGTGGCTGCTGCTGCTTTCTGCTTCTGCATCAGATGGAAAACTACCTATTTGTTTACTTCATCTTTTGAATGTTATACAATGCTATAGCCATGGTGCTGGTACTTGAATATTCACATAGGCTTTGTTTAGGACGGCTTTCTAGAAAGCTGCTTTAAGAAGCAGCAAGAAAGCCGTCTCAAACGAAGCCAGAATAACTTATCTGGTACATGTTTTCTCATGACTACCAAGCCCTGCCTTTCACAAAATAACAAGCTGGAGGAGGATTCTAACGCCTATTGCTGCATATCGAAGGGAGATTGCCATAATTTAGTTTCAGGAGTGAGGAACAAATATGCCTACATATCCAAAACCAACTGCAAAAAAGGCAAAGCCTTGGAGAAAGAGGTATATGAAGTAATGGTTCCTCCCAAATCCCAAATCATAGAACCCACAGAAGAAAAGGAAGGCTCCCACCCCTAGCTCCAACACATGCAACCTGTTGTTAGAAATGCAAAATTTCAATATCTCAACGGCAGAGGAGGAGCTAGAGGATCTGATTACATGAAAACAAGTAGAAATTACCTATCGCCGATTCGTATTTTCGGTTTCTTAGACGCTTTAGTGATAGCTTTTGTCTTTAATGCATCTCCAAGCTTTTCAGTGACTATCCATTCATTAACCTTGCTAGTCTCTAAGAGGCCTACAAAGGTTGCCTTTGTTCTGTGCAAAGACATGACATTCTCAAAAAGGATCCAGAATACTATCAGGTGGAGAGACCTGTGGACGTAATAGAATGAAGAAAACAGAAATTAGAATAAATAGAGATGAGAAACTAACAAAACTTGAAGGAAGTTTATCTTTATACCTTGGAGTTCCAACAGCATTAAGAAGGGTGATAATGGAGGGGATATATACAGAACCCCACTTTGGTATTTCTACTTCAGGAACTAAGACAGTTGCAGGGATGACCACACAATAGAAGACGAAGGTGACGATATGAGCGACGATCTTTCGAACGAAGAAGAAATTGTAGATGACATGTACTTTCTTAAATGGAGATACTTTCTGCACAGCCATAAAACAAAAAAGTGATTAAATTTAACTAAGATTGCAAGCATGAAGTCACTTGGTAAACAATAATATACAATTTTTCTTACCTTGTTTCTTATAATCTCCATAAGCATTTTCCTGAACAAGTTTGCAGGACCACATGACCACCTGTGTTGCTGGTATCGATAAGCTTTGAATGTACTTGGCAATTCATTTTTTACCTGTATTTAGGATTCAAATAAACAAGAAGTTGGGTCAGGTAATAGTTCATCTGCCAATACTAAGGGACTGTTTGGTAGAATCTAGGATTTTATTTAAGTAGGATTTTGTAAATCCTTCAAATCCAGATTTACTAAATTCTGAGGGGGTTAAATCCTGAAAACTGTTTGGTAACCTTTATGATAAATCCTATGTGACTGTTTGGCTATTCCAGTCAGGATTTAAGAAGGTTGAAAGATTTGGGCGGAGTTTCTTCCTTCTCACGCCAATAGAGTTAGAGGATTTCGGAAATCCACCGAACGAGAGGATTTCGGGAATCCGGGATTTACGATGAAAAGGCAGAATTTTCCGTCTACAGCGGCTTTCAGTTTCCGGGGGATTTGGTTTTGCATTTTAGGCCGTTTGGCTGGATTTCGCCTCAAATCCGGCCTAAATCCGCATACCAAACAGCCCCTAAAAGAAGCTAGCGCATGAAAGTTATAAGGGAAAACTTTGGAGTACCTTAAGGTCTGAGAGGTATACGAATTTCCAACCTTTGAGACTTGCTCGAACAGCCAAGTCCATGTCCTCCACAGTGGTCCGATCCTTCCAACCTCCTGCTTCATTTAGCGCCGATATCCGCCACACTCCAGCAGTCCCTGGATGCAAAGATCAACTAGCAATGTTCATAAAAACATTTCACTGTAACAAAATCTTTCCAAGAGAATGTACATTGTAAAGAAGAGAGATTCTTAGAGACAGTAGCTTGACTGGGAAGATATACTCACCATTGAAGCCAAAGAAGGAATACATGGAGGACCCAACCTCTTGCTCAACAGTGAAGTGGTAATCCAGGGACATCTCCTGCATCCTCGTCATCAGACACTCGTTGGAGTTTGCTGTTCAATATTAGAAAAATTACCAAAAGTTAAAACAGGACTGTGAAACTAAGCTCCATGAACAAATAATGACAGCATTACAGATGCAATTAATCAAATAAAAAAGAAGGAGAAGAACTAAAGGAACATAGGAAGAAACAAAAAAAAAAAAATGAATTCATCAGGAAGATTCACCATTCTTCTTTACAATTACAGGCCGTGCCAATTTTTTAAGTCAAATAAACCTACCTAACAATCAACAAAATATCATTTTTCTACCAAAAATGGCCAAAAGCTCTCTTCATCTCACTTATTCTCACCCTCCCCCAAACAAAAGACAAATTATTAGGTGCGGACACCAGATAGACAGAATCATCCGAATTTCTCTTTGTCTGCACTAAAAGTGCAATTACTGTAGCAGCTACGCTTTGACTACGCTTCTATTGTAGACAAAGAGAAATTCAAATGATTATATATGTCCGGTGTCCACACCTAATAATTTCTCAAAACAAAAAAAGGTTTAACAAATAAATAATCATGAATGTTATCCTCTAACAATACGTGCATGTGCAAAGGCCTGTGTTTATTCAAAGAAACAAAATAGGCATATAACACCAAAGCCATTAAAAAAAAGTTTGTAACTCAAACCCTCCCCCAAACAAAAGGCAAAATATTAGGTGCGGACACTGGAGAGCGAGAATCATCCGGATTTCTCTCTGTCTATAATAAAAGCGTAGTCAAAGCACAGTTACTGTAGCAGACTACGCTTTTACTGTAGACAGAGAGAAATCCGAAACCGAAATCCACACTTAATAATTTCTCCAAACAAAAAGTTTAAAATCAGAAATAATCATGAATGTTATCCTCTAACAATACGCGCATGTGCACAGGCCTGTACTTATTCAAAGAAACAAAATAGGCATATACCACCAAAGCCATTAAAAGGAAAAAAAATTTTTTTTTTCTAACTCAAACGAGTGAAGCTCATTAATAAACTTTGTATCAGCTAAGCCCCCAAAACTCTGCACATGGAAGTGTCGGTAGGAAGCAGGAAAGCAGAACACATGGGCGAAAGCTGGTCCACAACGCAGTTGAATTTTTACGGCGAGCGTCTGCGGTATCTAAAAGCGGCCGAATAATTCCGGCCAGAAAAGAAAAAAAATGCTGCGTTTTGGTGGCTTACCGAGGCCGCATCCAGCGCGCAACACAGCCCCGCGAGTGAGCGCACGGCCGGCCCTGCTCCACAATTCCTTTTTTCTATAAAATAAAATCGTGGAACATTTTTACCCCAAAAAAACTCAATATTTTCTATATTTCCACAGATCTAATACCCACCGACAAACCAAAATATTGAGCATTTAATGATATTTGTAATTGCAGTGCTGCGTAAGGTCACTTGACAGAGAGATTCGTTTGAATCTCTTTCTGTCTATAGTAAAAGCGCATGTAAAGTGCAGGTATGCTACAGTACCTGTGCTTTTACTGTAGAGAGAGAGATGCGAATGAATCTCTCTATCAGGTGACCGGATGCAATAATTTGCCCAATGATTGAGGGAGAAGACAAGATTTTTTTTTTCTTTAAGATCGTTGATTTGAGTCACACAATTTAGGGCATCTCCAGCAAAAAATGTCGTGATTCGATTCGTCTTTAATCGAATTCCATTTTGCGCTCTTCTGCGAATGTAACAGTCTTTCTCCTCTTTTGCGTGTTTCTTCGACAAATCCGACTGAGACAGAAACATTGCTTAGGACGTCGCATTGTTCACCCTCCACCGATTAACGATTTAGTTGCCGTTCAAATGAAACAAACCAGCTACATCTTACACTAATTTGGAGTTTGGCTTGAGATGCCCTTAGAGCATACCAATTTTTTTTTTTTTTTTTTTTGAAAGACAATATATATTCAATATTCCAATAATTTGCAAAGTACTACCTTTGAAGTAATAATTTAATGATAAGCAGGGCAGCGGAAGAGAACTACGCCTAATGATGTAAGTAAACCGAGCCGGCTCGAGCTTGACTCATTTATAAGCTCGGGAGCCGAGCTTATCGAACTCACGAGACGACCTCAAACTTGCTCAGAGCTTGCGAGCCGGCTCGAATAAATATTAATATTTTTTAAATAATTTATTTTATTTATTAAATTTAAATATTAAAAAAATAATAAAAACCACCTAAGTTTTATCTAAATGTTAAACATTTCATTTTTATTTGTAAATTGTAATTAACTTTTAAAATCCCACTTAACTTTTAATAATCCCGCCTAATTTTTAAAATTCCCACCTAAAATTTAAAATTCCCGCCTATGGCTCGCGAGCCGGCTCGAGCTCGTTTACAGTGAAACGAACTCGAGTTCGAGCTCGACTCGATCTCGCTGAGCCGAACTCGATAAGGGCTTAAACTCGACTGACTCGTTTACACCCCTACGCCCACCCATGTTGCTAGTCACGAGGTCCAAAAAAATAGTTCAAAATAGATTATTTTTTTTCTGCAAATAATTAGTTGTGCAGTATAAAAGGTTTGCAGTAATGTGCTTCTTTAGTGATATGGTTGGGTTTTGGGAAATGGACTGCAGTCGCTTTTAACACCACCAACCACACCACTTGTTCTCATTAATAGATTTCTGCCCCAACCTCCCCCCGTTCAAATGGCCCATTTGGCAGCCACAAACCGGGCAGCTTCTACATAACCCACCGAATTAGTTTTTTCCTCTTCGCCTCCCGTCACCATCTCTCTCGTTTTAGTTTTTCTTTACTGTTTGGTGCGAGTGAACTGTATTTCGCTGCTTTGAAAATGGAGATGGACAGCAGAGCATGGGGGCCGAGATCACCGGAGCTGTCCCCGCAAATCTAGCCATGTGATCTAAGAGGGCGACCTGCTTAGTCTTTTCTCTCAAAAAGTGTATTAACGACGTCTTAAACTTAATTGCTCAATCTAAAAAAATTTAGCCATGTTTGGAACAAAAAGTCCAACATCACAGTGAAAGCAATGCAGATAAACTAAGGCTTAGTTTTGGGACGATTTTTTTACTGTTTCTTAAAACAATTTTATAATACATAAATTTTAATTTTTGTATTAAAAAGCTGTTTTAAGGAGCAATTAAAAATCCGTACCAAACGAACTCTAACGCTTCGTTTGGGATGACTTTTTTATTGCTTTTTAAAACATTTTTTTAATACAACATTTTTTAATTTTTGTAATGAAAAGCTGATTTAAGAAGCATAAAGAAAACCGTCTCAAATGAATAAGGCTTCGTTTCAGACGGCTTTCTTATTGCTTCTTAAAACAGCTTCTTAGTAAACCCGCGGGTTTTCGAGTCAACCCGAACCCAACCCGTTTTTTCAAATGGGTCAAAATTCCGAACCCGGACCCAATCTATTTCACAAACGGGTTGATTCGAATCAAGATTATAAAAGACAGTGATAGAATAAAAATTGCTTATAAAAGCAACGAAGGAATAATCCACAAAATGTTGTGAATTATGAGTGAATCCGCTGCTTAGAACGTGATAAGGAGCTTGGTCAGGGGGGGTATCGAACTAAAGTAGCATTTCGCTTTACAGTTTGGTTCCACGTGGCAACAGAGTTTGCTGTCCGCAATTTGTCGGCGAGCGGTGGGCCCACAAATGCTTCGATCGGTCGGTCTTAGCGTGACGTCTTCCCTCTCTCGCTCTCATATTTGAATTAAGAGTTTAATTAATTAAATTACTAATACTGGTGAATCAAATCGGACCGGATTAGAAGGGAATAAAGGAAAAAAAGGGGCTAAAGCGTAAAAAAAAAAAAAAGGTGTGGCGGGCCCAAAATCACGTAGCAGTCGTCTCCTCCGACCGCCATTAACAAATCGAGTATCTCCGAAAGAGACGGACGTTACGATAAGCACGTTCAAGAAAGCCCCCACCGACACACGAATCTACTAACTCTTACTGTGGTTAATTTAGTAAATATTTCATCTATCCGAATTTTTATTATCAATATGAACACGTAATTATAATCTTCTTCCTCTATTTGGATTAATCGACAAATCATAAAGAGCTTATGGCTTTATTTGGAACCGTTCTTTTGACCGTTTTAGAGTCTAAAATTGATTTCCAATGGTGCAGAAAATAACTTTTAGTTATTATGATTAAAAAAAAGCAGCTTTTTATAACATAAATTTCTGAGAATTAATGAATTATGATTGTTATCTTAAAAAAACAACTTTTTCCAGCTTATTTCAAAGCTAAGTTATGATTGTTATAAGAAAAATAAAAAGTTGTCAAAATAGACCCTAAGTGATTAAAAAAATAATTTTTTTTCATGATTATTTTAAAATTTTGCTTAGGACTGAGAATTTTTTTTTAAAAGCTTAAACTTCTCCGAAAAAAAAAGTAAATTTATTGTATAAGATGAACTCTTTTCATCAAAATTATAAAAAAAAAGAAAGAAAGAAGAAGGTGACTTACAGAATTTCCAGCGAGCTTGAACGAGGCCGAGTTGGGGGTTGTGAACGAGGAAAGGAACGGTGCGGGAGAGGAAGTCGGCCTCGGGCTGGAAGTCGGCGTCGAAGATGGCGACGAAATCACAGTTCTTAACGTAGCTATGCTTCATCCCCTCCTTCAGCGCTCCGGCTTTGTAGCCGTTCCTGTTGTCCCTTATCTCGTACCTTATATTGATCCCCTTGCTCGCCCATCTCTCGCATTCCATCACCACCAAATCCTGCATTTCCCGACCGTTAGATTCACGCCCTTTCTTTTTTTCATTTGAATTCTCTAAGCTTTGATCTTTTCATGGCTTCCACTCCTCTTAATCGTCATGAAAAGCCTTTCATAAATCGCCAGTCTTTTTCATTCTCAGGAGTTTAAAGAATTGGAATGGAAGAGGGTGGTGAACTGAAGGGCAGTTTAGTAAATAAAAAAAGCTTAAGGATAGTTTAAATTGTTATTATGTACATAAATCCCCTTATTGGACAAGTTAGCGAGCCAGCTCATAAGATATTAATGAGAACTTAGCTGGCTTAATCATTCCAAGGAGGGGATTGATCTGAACACCCGCAATGATTTTGTGAAAGAGTTCCATTTAAAATAGCTTTGATATGCGCCAAAACGTGGGATTTGCATAATTTGTTTGAAACTAATTAACTCTTTATTTTATTAATTTAGGCGTAGGGGAGGAGAAGAAGACAGGGAGATTGGGTAGAACTTGGTCTACAGACCTTGATGATGGGGTCGGTGGAATCGTCGAGAACCTGGATGATGATCCGATCGGACGGCCAGGAGAGTCCGCATGCAGCTCCAATGGAGAGCTTGTAGACCTGTAACACCATCGCCCAGAAATCGAAGCTTAAATTAGGGAGACGGGGGAAGATGAGTGAGAGAGTTGAAGAACAGGTTAAGGAGATTATACCTCCTTCTCGTTGAACATGGGGATTTGAACGAGGACCATGGGGAATGCGGAGTTTCCGAGCTCGAGGTCCTCGCGGAGTGGCTCCCATTTGTAACGCCTATCAGGGCGGCGGCCGGAGAGCTTGATGCCGACGATGACGATGGCCATGTAGACCTTCTCGACGAAAAGCATCACCGACATGACAAGGCAAAGAAAAGCCGTCAGTCGCAGCAGCGGCACGATCACCGGAGCCTTCACCTGGTCCCAGATCAGCCCTATCTGCCCGGCAATGTCATCTCTCGCCTCCTGAAATGTTTCCGGAAGCGCCGCCATCGCTGCCGACGACGTCACGCTCTCCATTGCTCGATCCGCAAAGAGAGAGGTGAGATCTCGAAAAGGGGATGTTTCAGTTGAAGATTAAGAAGGAGAAAATATAGGAATGCTACAAGAACCAATCTGGCAAGAAGCACGCATATATAAAGGGGTTCCACTGCTTCCTTGCTAAAGACAAAAGTCCAAAGTCTTTCAAGCAGGCCCCTTTCGCTCCGATTTCAAACTGGAGGCCGGCTTTGCTGAGAAATCACGCAAGGAAATGCGGAGGAGATGGACTGTCAGTAACTCAATATCGGATCCAAACTCATGACTTGAAAAACAGAGCGAGAAAGATAGAGAAAGAAGGAAAGAGAAGCAGAGGAGATTAAGCTCTTCCCCTGAAATCTTCCCTTCTTCTCTGCGACTTCACAACCACTTGATAAAGATCGACGCACGCAATGCGGGTTAAAATGGAAAGCAAGGGGAGAGCAGCAAAGCTTCACTTCTTCTGAGAGCCCCACCCGAGCCGAGACAAAGTGGATTAGATGGCAAATTGTGGTAAAACAAAGCGGGAAAAAAGTAAACGGTTGAAGGAATGGGAAGAAAGAAGAAAATTTTCTTTTTTTTTTCTTCCCCTTTAATTAAACTCCCCTTTCTTATTGTTTTACACTAGGCGGAGGATTAGAAGACGGACGAGAGACAAGAGGGAGACAGAAGATAAGCCGCAGCTGAAAGCCTTGCAAAATGTAGCTTACACCGGGCACTTTAAATAGTTGCAGCTGAAAGATATTGACAATGGCTTATAACGAATCAACATGCTGGAATACTTTTTCATTTAGTTTTTATTAAAAAAAAAAACAGAATAGTATTAGCTTTAATCGGAGAATATTAGCGTTTATTATGTAAAAGCTAATAAAATAAAAAATGGGCTTTACGAACTGGACAATAATTTCTTTATCTCAACCTTTGCATTTTTTATCAATTTAATTACAAAGTTGGGTGGGTGGGTGATGGGAAGCCCCTAATCTATGTTCAATTTTCTTCTTACGTGGCACGGTTTTTTAAGTAAGGAGAAAATAACTGCATGTCCTGCACCTGAGAGGCTGGTTGCTGGTAGGCTCGTTGGTAGATATCCCCGTTCCTGAAAAAAAAAATCACAAAGCTCCCTCTATTCGCCTCCCTCTCTCTCTCTCATTCGTAATCAATCTTTCAGTAAAATCTGAGTATTAAATTTGGGTCCAACATTAATGATTTTTTTAATAGAAAAATATAATACATAAATAAATAATTAATAATTATATTGTATTAATCTTAATTAATATATTTTGATTTTTTTTTCATAATAAAATGTGAGCAATTTTTGGGAGCAAATAATTTTAAACTTTTGATTTATATGTTTAGTTATTTATCTTAATTTGAGATATTAATTTGGATCGTAACACATCTAATTCTTCTAATTTCTGAGAAGATATTCGACATTTTAATAAAAAACATTAAAAATAAAATAAAATATATAAATTTAGATAGATAAGATAATTATACACTTATATTATAATTAGTGCAATAATTAATTTTGAATGATTAACGATTAAGAGTAAGTTACTAATGTTAACAAAGCTAATCATTTTCTAATAATATATCCAAATCTTTAATCACTGTTAATTTTAAAACGATAATCATACTCAATATCTTATGGACCCAAAATTAATATTTTTTAATATACATTAATAGAGCTACAATTCAATATTATTTTCTTCTATTAAACCATGCAAGCCATAATTTATGTGAGAGAGGGATATTTTTTAGAGCATTCATAAGAGGGCCTTTCAAGATAAAATTTTTGAGAGAGGGTTCTCATTGACGTGTCACTAACTCATTATTGTTGGGTCACCTCAATAATAGCTATGGTAGACATAATCAATAAGAAATGCATGAAAAATCTCAAGTGATATTTTAAATTAATATTTGAAAATCATAAATTATATTTCGGGAGCATAATCTTTAAATTATTATTATTATTATTTTGTCGTATTGTCTGTTATGTTGATTCGAATGAAGACCCGGCCCCCTCTCTTACTGTTACAGGAGAAGTTATTATGTGCGGAATTTGCACGTAGCTTTTCATCCTGATTCCAAAAATACGAAAACAAATAAATTTTTTATTTCTTGTGCACATTTTGAGTACAAGATAGATAAAAAATAACCAAATTTTCTTTCAAAATTATAGTTTGTTATGACATATTACACAAATGAAGAGTTCAACTACACCAAAACATTACTAAATCTTTGCAATGTAATTTGGCTAATAAATAAAGGCAATTGATGGTTGAGTGAGAGAAGGTAGGGGTGCCAATAAATTATTTGATAGGAGAACCCAACTCAAGAATATTGGCTTCGGGTTGACCCGATTACTATTCGGTTCAAGTTTATATAATAGATTATTAATTAAGTTTTGTTCAAGTTCAACTTAGTAACCTTAAACTAACTCAAAATTAATTGTCCATATTACTATTTGGGTTTCAGTTTTTAAAAATTAGAAATTCGTTGTTAGAATAGACATATATATTACACTTTAAAAAATTACACGGTCCTTGTAATAAATAGGTTAGACAACCTGCTTTCTAATTGAGTCAATTTTGTGTCAAGCTTTTTGACTCTTATTATAGATAGAACGAATTCATGTCAAACATGGTAAAAACTACAGGTCTTTAAAAGAACAATAGCTCTCTAAAAAAATAGCATTTGATATAAAACCTAAGAACCCTTATTCCAACCTATTTCATGAGTAGACCAAATGAAAAAGAAGAAAAGAAATCTAACAAAGAAACCACCTAAAGGAAACATGACCAACACCTCAAAAGCCTAACATAAGCTTCATGCAACAACAACAGAAGAGAACTCAAGGAGATCACAAAAAAAAGCTCCAACACCCTTCAGGAAGAAAGCCACAAAGAAAATAGAAAGAATAAAATGAAACCCGCATTAACAATGACCAATCTACCATCCCTAAGAGAACATCCATTCCCAAAGGAAACAACCAAAAATCCAAACCCTCCAGCAGAAAGCCATACAACAACACAAACAACCAACATCCCACAACCAAGCCCTAAGAGGAACACCCCATCAGCGAGACAACCCAAGAGCCAAAACTAACAGGAGAGGAGTCAAACCACAACAAAAACAAAAAACCACCAAAAGAAAAGCCAATCCACAAGATCAAATTACTTCTTTTTCGCTTTTCTTCTATGATGTTTTCCACCCCAATGAGCAAAGGCTTTTCCAACAATGGGACCCACATTCAAACTATACATCTATTGATTTTCCTCTACAGGCTCATCCAAATCTTCCTCAGCGCCCCCACAAGCTGATGAAGAGGTCTCATCAAACCAATCAGATTGAACCACATTCAATTTGTGTGAGGCTTAGGTTTGGATTGAAGGGATGCTAATGAGCCGAATTGAGGGATTGGAGGGAGTCAATAAACCGACTAAAAGAAGAGGGACACAAGAAGACATGTTCAGGCTGAGGAAAGACGTAGGGAAATAAGTTGAAGTGATCAAGCTGTTGTCAAATTTATTTAAATAATCTGCAAAATTTTTGTCAGTAATGAGTGATATTTTTGGCAAAAAATTCATGCTGGAAAATTTTGCATTTCTAGTAGATAATATCCACCAAAAAATCCAATGATAAAATTTATTTTCCAGTAATGTATGTCACATTTTTCTCTTTCAAGACCTATCTTCAACAAGCCAATATTGCAGTCATCTTTCCTCATGTTGTAGCTATTTCCTGAAAGACCTATACAATAATTTTCTCCATAAAAATTCTTGCATTTTGTTTGGGTAAAAAAAAAAAAAAATCGAACTAAACCAATCTTTTTAGTTTGTTTGGTTTGATTATTAAAGTATTGATTTCTTTATTTATTATAATTTTGACTTTTTTATTTTGATTATTGGTTCTTTCTATTTTAAAATAGATAATAATAAAAAAATTATGTCAATTTCTTTAAATATTAAATGAATAAATTAATGTTAATAGATAAGTGACATAAAGATGAATGTGAATATAATTTAGTTTATATAATAAAATAAGAAGTTCTTACAAATACGACTTTGATATTCGTAATTATATATTATTTATGCTAAAGATTAATAAAGTTAAATATATTATGATTCATCTAAAATCAATCATCCTGAAGTAACTTCAATTTAGTTTATTTAAAAAAATAATTTGATAGATTTAGATTTTATTTGGGACAATGCTTTTTAAAACAACTTTCTAGTACAAAAATTTCTAATTCTAAAAATTTTTGTACTAAAAAACTGCTTTAGAAAGTAGAAAGATGGCTACCCAAATAAAACTTTAATCTTCTAAATTTTACAATAAAAATTAATTAATTTAACTAATTAATAAATTAAATAATTCAAATCATTCAAATATACATATTTAGTAATAAGTATAAGATGTATTGGGATCCAGAATTAATGCAGTCTACTTTTTTTTTTTTTTTTGAAAAAGCTAGCTTTGTAAAATGAAATTTTTTTTTTTCAAGTTTATGTTTTATTCTACTGCATTCTTGATAGATTTTATGTGTTATTCTTTGATTTATTTTCAAGTTTATGTTTTACTTTTATGTGTTAATTAACATAAGTCTTAATGTGTTTGTCTTTTAATTTGTTAAGTTCTTAACCGATTGTCGATTGATCTTGCAAAATAATAACTAGGTTTTTGTCATGGAGAAATATTTTAAGAAGATTTTACAGAGTTCAAATGAGACAAGTAAAAAAGATGAGGAGCAAAGTCCAAAAAGAATTTGCGTGGAAATTGAATCATCAAGAAATCAAGAAGTAGATTTAGAGAACCTTCCATCTGATCGTGGTTTGTGAATCCCTATCTATGAATTTTCTCCTAATATTCAAGATCAAGTTCGTCGAGCTTACTTGCAAAGAGGACCATTCCAACCTCGCATTCATGAATTTCCTCAAACCAAATTTGGGGCAAAACATAGACGTTTCAATGTTGCATGGTTTGATAAATATTCTAATTGGTTAGAATACAGCATATGCAAAGATAAGGCTTACTGTTTATATTGTTATCTATTTAAAGCAGTAGGAAGAGGAAATGAGGATGATGATGCATTCAATAAGAATGGATTTTCAAATTGGAAAAAATCAAATAGATTAATTCTTTTTGTGCATTCAGTAAAGACAAATTAATTCGAATGTCACATCTTTATCCATGTGATTTTACTCCTGTTGAATTGGAAATTCTAGACAATCAGTTGGAAACTTATATCATGGATATGCAGTCAGATCCACATTTTTCATTGTTAAAAGATCCTGGACATCTTGCTGAGACAATGATACAGAACAAGAAAGATGTTTTATATCCTCTTGTTTTCAAGCTATTAAAACTAGCTTTAGTTTTGCCGGTTGCAACAGCAGGAGTAGAAAGAGTATTTTCTGCAATGACTATCATTAAAACTCGACTGCGAAATAGGATTGGAGATCAGTGGATGAATGATACTTTACTCGCATATATTGAGAAGGAAATATTGGATTGTATTGAAAATGATGTAATTGTCAATCTTTTTCAAAATATGAAGAGCAGACGCTATAAATTGTAAGTATTTTGCATCTTATATTTAGTATTCGATCTTTTCGGTATTTTTTTGTATAACTCGGTATTGCTCGGTATTGATCTTCACAGAGCGGTATTCCTCATTATTACCAAATAATACCTAGCAATAC